AGCCGTGGGGGGGTCGGTGCGGGGGGGCTGGGGGGGCAGGCTGGTGAGGGAGCCGTGGGGGGGTTGGAGCTGGGGGGGCTGGGGGGCAGGCTGGCGAGGTAGCTTTGGGGGGGTTGGTGCTGGGGGCAGGCTGGTGAGGGAGCCGTGGGGGGGGTCGGGGCTGGGGGGCAGGCTGGTGAGGGAGCCGTGGGGGGCAGGCTGGTGAGGGAGCCGTGGGGGGGTCGGTGCGGGGGGCTGGGGGGCAGGCTGGTGAGGGAGCCGTGGGGGGGTTGGTGCTGGGGGGCTGGGGGGCAGGCTGGTGAGGGAGCCGTGGGGGGGGGTTGGAGCTGGGGGGGCTGGGGGGGCAGGCTGGTGAGGGAGCCGTGGGGGGGTTGGTGCGGGGGGCTGGGGGGCAGGCTGGTGAGGGAGCCGTGGGGGGGTCGGTGCTGGGGGGCTGGGGGGGCAGGCTGGTGAGGGAGCCGTGGGGGGGGGTCGGTGCGGGGGGGCTGGGGGGGCAGGCTGGTGAGGGAGCCGTGGGGGGGGTCGGTGCGGGGGGGCTGGGGGGGCAGGCTGGTGAGGGAGCCGTGGGGGGGTCGGTGCGGGGGGGCTGGGGGGCAGGCTGGTGAGGGAGCCGTGGGGGGGTCGGTGCGGGGGGGCTGGGGGGCAGGCTGGTGAGGGAGCCGTGGGGGGGTCGGGGCTGGGGGGCAGGCTGGTGAGGGAGCCGTGGGGGGGGTCGGGGCTGGGGGGCAGGCTGGTGAGGGAGCCGTGGGGGGGTCGGTGCGGGGGGCTGGGGGGCAGGCTGGTGAGGGAGCCGTGGGGGGGGGGGGGGGGCTGGGGGGGCTGGTGAGGGAGCCGTGGGGGGGGTCGGGGCTGGTGAGGGAGGTGGGGGGGTGGGGCTGGGGGGCAGGCTGGTGGGGGCGTGGGGGGTGGGGCTGGGGGCTGGCTGGTGAGGGGCCGTGGGGGGGTCATGGGGGGCAGGCTGGTGAGGGAGCCGTGGGGGGGGTCGGTGGGGGGGGGCTGGGGGGCAGGCTCGTGAGGGAGCCGTGGGGGGGTCGGTGCGGGGGGGCTGGGGGGCTGGCTGGTGAGGGAGCCGTGGGGGGGGGTCGGTGCGGGGGGCTGGGGGGCAGGCTCGTGAGGGAGCCGTGGGGGGTCGGGTGCGGGGGCTGGGGGGCAGGCTGGTGAGGGAGCCGTGGGGGGGTCGGGGCTGGGGGGCAGGCTGGTGAGGGAGCCGTGGGGGGGGTCGGGGCTGGGGGGCAGGCTGGTGAGGGAGCCGTGGGGGGGGTCGGGGCTGGGGGGGCTGGCTGGTGAGGGAGCCGTGGGGGGGGGTCAGTGCGGGGGGGCTGGGGGGCAGGCTGGTGAGGGAGCCGTGGGGGGGGGTCGGTGCGGGGGGCTGGGGGGCAGGCTCGTGAGGGAGCCGTGGGGGGGGGGTCGGGGCTGGGGGGCTGGCTGGTGAGGGAGCCGTGGGGGGGGTCAGTGCGGGGGGGCTGGGGGGCAGGCTGGTGAGGGAGCCGTGGGGGGGGTCGGGGCTGGGGGGCTGGCTGGTGAGGGAGCCGTGGGGGGGTTGGAGCTGGGGGGGCTGGGGGGCAGGCTGGCGAGGGAGCCGTGGGGGGGTTGGTGCTGGGGGCAGGCTGGTGAGGGAGCCGTGGGGGGGTCGGGGCTGGGGGGGCTGGGGGGCAGGCTGGTGAGGGAGCCGTGGGGGGGTTGGTGCTGGGGGGCTGGGGGGGCAGGCTGGTGAGGGAGCCGTGGGGGGGGGGTCGGTGCGGGGGGGCTGGGGGGGCTGGCTGGTGAGGGAGCCGTGGGGGGGGGTCGGGGCTGGGGGGCTGGCTGGTGAGGGAGCCGTGGGGGGGTCGGTGCGGGGGGGCTGGGGGCAGGCTGGTGAGGGAGCCGTGGGGGGGTCGGTGCGGGGGGGCTGGGGGGGCTGGCTGGTGAGGGAGCCGTGGGGGGGGTCGGTGCGGGGGGCTGGGGGGCAGGCTGGTGAGGGAGCCGTGGGGGGGTCAGTGCGGGGGGCTGGGGGGCAGGCTGGTGAGGGAGCCGTGGGGGGGGTCGGGGCTGGGGGGCAGGCTGGTGAGGGAGCCGTGGGGGGGGTCGGGGCTGGGGGGGCTGGCTGGTGAGGGAGCCGTGGGGGGGGGGTCGGTGCGGGGGGCTGGGGGGCAGGCTGGTGAGGGAGCCGTGGGGGGGGTCAGTGCGGGGGGGCTGGGGGCAGGCTGGTGAGGGAGCCGTGGGGGGGGGTCGGTGCGGGGGGGCTGGGGGGCAGGCTCGTGAGGGAGCCGTGGGGGGGTCGGGGCTGGGGGGGCTGGCTGGTGAGGGAGCCGTGGGGGGGGTCAGTGCGGGGGGGCTGGGGGGCAGGCTGGTGAGGGAGCCGTGGGGGGGGGTCGGGGCTGGGGGGGCAGGCTGGTGAGGGAGCCGTGGGGGGGGTCAGTGCGGGGGGGCTGGGGGGCAGGCTGGTGAGGGAGCCGTGGGGGGGGTCGGGGCTGGGGGGGCAGGCTCGTGAGGGAGCCGTGGGGGGGGTCGGGGCTGGGGGGGGCTGGGGGGCAGGCTGGTGAGGGAGCCGTGGGGGGGGGTCGGGGCTGGGGGGGCTGGCTGGTGAGGGAGCCGTGGGGGGGGGTCAGTGCGGGGGGCTGGGGGGCAGGCTGGTGAGGGAGCCGTGGGGGGGGTCGGGGCTGGGGGGGCAGGCTCGTGAGGGAGCCGTGGGGGGGGGTCGGGGCTGGGGGGCTGGGGGGCAGGCTGGTGAGGGAGCCGTGGGGGGGGGTCGGGGCTGGGGGGCTGGCTGGTGAGGGAGCCGTGGGGGGGGGTCGGTGCGGGGGGGCTGGGGGGGCAGGCTGGTGAGGGAGCCGTGGGGGGGCGCGAGCAGGGGCGGGGCCGCTCCCTGCGCGGGGCCGGAGGGGCTCGGCGGCGAAGGGGTTACTGAGCGCGCGCTCCCGCCCCGCCGTGCACGCGCTGCGCGCTCTCCGGCGCGGGGTCGGGCTGGGCTGAGCGGAGCAGCCTCCGGAACCGGCCCCCTGCAGCCGCCCGGACCCGACATGGCGGAGCCACGCGGCCGCCCCCCGGGGTGAGTGAGGCCCGGTGCCGACAGCGCCGGCCGGCCGGGGGGGCTGCTGCGCGGGGCGGACTCGGCGGGGCGGGGCGGCCGTGAGGGGGGCTGGGCTGGGCGGCCGGGGGGGCTGGGCTGGGCTGGGCGGCCGGCTGGGCTGGGGAGGGTGCGGGGCAGGCTGTGAGGGGCTGGGCTGGGCGGCCGGGGGGGGCTGTGAGGGGAGGGGGGTGGGCTGGGCTGGGCGGCCGGGGGGGCTGTGCGGGGAGGGGAGGGGAGGGGGCTGGGCTGGGCGGCTGGGGGGGTCTGTGCGGGGAGGGGGGCTGGGCTGGGCGGCGGGGGGGTCTGTGCGGGGAGGGGGGCTGGGCTGGGCGGCCGGGGGGGGCGGGCTGTGAGGGGAGGGGAGGGGGCTGGGCTGGGCGGCCGGGGGGGGCTGTGCGGGGAGGGGAGGGGGGCTGGGCTGGGCGGCCGGGGGGGGCTGTGCGGGGAGGGGAGGGGGCTGGGCTGGGCGGCCGGGGGGGGCTGTGCGGGGAGGGGAGGGGGCTGGGCTGGGCGGCGGGGGGTCTGTGCGGGGAGGGGGGCTGGGCTGGGCGGCCGGGGGGGGGGGTCTTGCGGGGAGGGGGGCTGGGCTGGGCGGCCGGGGGGGGCGGGCTGTGAGGGGAGGGGAGGGGGGCTGGGCTGGGCGGCCGGGGGGGGGGGGTGTCTGTGAGGGGAGGGGGCTGGGCTGGGCTGGGCGGCCGGGGGGCTGTGAGGGGAGGGGGCTGTGCGTGGAGGGGGGCTGGGCTAGGCGGCTGGGCTGGGCGGCCGGGGGGGGGGGGGCTGGGCTGGGCGGCGGGGGGGCTGTGAGGGGAGGGGGGGGCTGGGCGGCCGGGGGGGGGGTCTGTGCGGGGGGGGGCTGGGCTGGGCGCCCGGGGGGGGGGGTCTGTGCGGGGAGGGGGAGGGGGCTGGGCGGCCGGGGCTGTGAGGGGAGGGGGCTGGGCTGGGCGGCCGGGGGGGGGGGCCTGGGCTGGGCGTCTGGGGGGCTGGGCTGGGCTGGGCGGCCAGGGGGGGGCTGTGCGGGGAGGGGGCTGGGCTGGGCTGGGCGGCGGGGGGTGCTGTGAGGGGAGGGGGGCTGGGCTGGGCTGGGCGGCGGGGGGGGTCTGTGCGGGGAGGGGGGCTGGGCTGGGCGGCCGGGGGGGGGGGCTGTGAGGGGAGGGGGCTGGGCTGGGCGGCCGGGGGAGGTCTGTGCGGGGAGGGGAGGGGGGCTGGGCGGCCGGGGCTGTGAGGGGAGGGGGGCTGGGCTGGGCGGCCGGGGGGGGGGGCTGTGAGGGGAGGGGGCTGGGCTGGGCGGCCGGGGGGGGGGGGCTGTGAGGGGAGGGGGCTGGGCTGGGCGGCCGGGGGGGGGGCTGTGAGGGGAGGGGGGCTGGGCTGGGCGGCCGGGGGGGGGGGCTGTGAGGGGAGGGGGCTGGGCTGGGCGGCCGGGGGGGGGGGCTGTGAGGGGAGGGGGCTGGGCTGGGCGGCCGGGGGGGGGGCTGTGCGGGGAGGGGGGCTGGGCTGGGCGGCGGGGGGGGCTGTGCGGGGAGGGGGCTGGGCTGGGCGGCCGGGGGGGGGGCTGTGCGGGGAGGGGGGCTGGGCTGGGCGGCGGGGGGGGGCTGTGAGGGGAGGGGGGCTGGCTGGGCGGCCGGGGGGGGGGGGGGAAGCGGTGCTCCGTGCTGCCGGCGTTGCCATGGTGACGGTGTGAATGGGGGATTGTGCTGCGCTCAGCTGGCGGCCCCGGTCTGCCGGGCCGCGGCCCGAGCTCAGAGCAAGTCGCCCGCCCTCCTTTGTCGCTCGGCGCGGGGTACCCCTCGCTCGGCTCCGCCCGGCCGCCTTCTCCCGGCAGGCGGAGGGGCTGGGCTCGCCTTCCCGAGCTTCGCCTGGGCCCGCGAACGCGCCCCGCTTCTGGCTTTGCTGGAGAAGTGTTTGGGGGTTGGGCCGGCCGGCCGTGGGCCAGAGGAGCGGGGCGGGATGATGCTGTGGGTTAGTCAGATAAGGCGTCTTGTGGATAAAGTGTGCCCGACTGTTCCGACCCCGCCAAACCCATGTCATCCTCCTCGGGTGTCCAGCGGCAGCCCATGCAGGCATGGTACCTCTGCGCTGGCAGGATGAAGCAGGGGGCAGCCCCCTGCCTGGGGTATGTGCCATTCTCGGCAATTGCATTGTGTCTCTCTCAATTCCTCCTGTAACGGGTGGGATTCTTCTTCACTTCCCGTCCTAAAATGCTAGTATCCTTGCTGTGCACTTCTGTGCAGTTGCTAGGCCTCTGTCTGGGGGTGGCTGCATGTCAGTGGTTCTGTAAAGCAGCTTGGTGCTTATGAAAAATGCTTTGTTCAAATAATTATAATGATAAGCTCTTTCTCTGCCCAGGTCTCGGTGTCTGGGCAGGATTGTGTAGTGATGGGAATGGTGGTGTTAGTCTGGGTCTGAGGTAGTCTTGACTCCTGCCAGTGTAAGCCAGACAAGGTGGATGAGGTAATATCTTTTATGGGACCCACTTCTGTTGGTGAGAGGGACGCCAGAGCTGTACAGAGCTCTTCTTCAGGTCTGACCAGTTAAACACGAGATCAAACAGATAGCTTCGTCTAAGTAGTAGTACAGACACTCTTTTCTTAACTTGTTTGTTACGTAATTTTTTAACATCAGCTTTAATCCATTTTTTAATTCTGTATGGGACCATTCAAGGTGAAGTGGCCCATTAACACTCCTGTAGTCATAGGACAAAAAGGGGGGTTAGTGGGTTAGATTGTTGTAATAAGCTATAAATCCAGTGTCTGCATATAAGACCATGATTTTTAGTGTCTAACAAAGTTGTGAGTTTAAGCTCCCACTTTTCGAAGTGCTGTGCAGGTGTCCTTTGAGGACAAAGACTGATAGGTCAGATAAAGAGTGATCACTTTGTGAAAAGGGTTTGTCCTTTGTCTTTTATCGTTTTCCTGTGTGAGTTCATTTGAGAGCATAGTGATTTTCTCTCCTCAGGGTTCTGTCCTGTCTTCTCACTTGACCCACCTGGCTGCTCCCATGGCTTCAGCTCCCGCCTCTGCTGAATGCCCCATAGCCTTGGGTGTTCAGCAGAGCCGTAATCCACATCGCCCTGTTGATGCCTCTTTTCCACTTTTGCTCACTGTTTACACTGCTACACTTTTAGTCTAAGCCCTTGCGATCTCCCCTCTGCCCCTCCCCTGTCTTCACACCATTCTGTCCCAAATGGCATTGCTCCTTTTGTATTTCCAATGTGCCTGTTGCTTGCTCTCTGTTCCTCACTGCTCCAGCTGTTTCTTATGCCTTTGTTGTGTCTCCTTCTTTACCACTTCTCAGTCCTCTCACTGGCATCTCCTTTTCTTGCATCCAGCTCTGTGCCTGCTGCCATGCTGACCCCTACATCTTGAACAGGTCTGTCACTCCCTGCTGGGCATCCTCTCCCTCCCTGCACAGATCTCTTGTCTTGTTAGATTGGTAGCTCTTCAGGGCAGAGAATGTTTCTGATCAAAGTTCTGTAATGAGCCTTCTAAACTACTGGTACACTAAGTGTTATGTAATCATTAATTATAGCCCCGTTGTATGGCCACTGGGGAGGGGTAAAGACAGAGCTGCTGAGGAGAAGGCTCTTGTACCAACAATGGGATGGGAATGTTTGTCTGAAATGACAGGAAAGAGACTGTAGCCAGATGAGAGGAGGGACTAGATGGGGGGAAGAGACAGAGTCCATTAGATCATCTGCAACAGGGGTGGCCAACCTGAGCCTGAGAAGGAGCCAGAATTTACCAATGTTCATTGCCAAAGAGCCACAGTAATACGTCAGCAGCCCCGCATGAGCTCTCCGCTTCCCGCGCCTCCCGCCCACCAGCCTTCCCGATCAGCTGTTTCGTGGCATGCAGGAGGCTGGGGTGGGGGGGAGCGAGGGCATGGCAGGCTCAGGGGAGGGGGCGGGAAGGGGTGGAGTGGAGTGGGGGCAGGGCCTGTGGCAGAGCCAGGGGTTGAGCAGTGAGCAGCCCCCGGCCCATTGGAAAGTTGGCGCCTGTAGCTCCAGCCCCAGAGTCAGTGCCTAGACAAGGAGTTGCATATTAAGTTCTGAAGAGCCGCATGTGGCTCCAGAGCCAGAGGTTAGCCACCCCGATCTAGAGCAAGTCCTGGAGTGTTAAAAACAAGGATGACGTCTTTGACTAGGTAGGCCAAAGGCATGATCCAAAGGGGCCAGAGCGGTTGGAAACCTTGTTAGAAAATAATAGAATGGGATTTCGCTGGGAAGTAACCAAGGAGAGGGGGAGATGGGCGAGAAGGGGCAGAAAACTAGACAGTAATTTGCAAGGTGAGATGTCTGGCTCTGAGGAGGCGCTGGCTCAAAGGTGGTGTTCGTGTTTGGACCCTCAGCACTAGAACAAGTTGGCCAAAATGATAGGGGGTGGCAGTGGTGTAGCTCTTCTAGTAAGTGAGTAAGGAGCTGGTCCAAGATGTTTGCAGGGTGCTAACATGCCTGGTGAAAAAGGCTTGAGTGAGGTATTAGGGGTAGAAATAGGAGCCCCTTCCTGATGGTAAGATGGGCCAGGCTGGGAGAGGGGAAGCCTAGTTGCTTTAAAACAGAGTCGGACAGTATGAAAAATGCATAGGCATTGGGGCCTGGGTCCCGTGGGCTAAGGCCCCTTCAACTTGTGTGATTCTGTGGGCCAGAATGTAGTATGTTTGGGTGTGCAAAGCAATTGGACAATGTTACGTCCAACTTGCACGCACACTTATTCAGGCTGTGAGTTGGGTAATTGCGCACAAAGATTTGCACAAGCACTTCTTTTTCTTAGCATATGTACAATGTGCCTCAGGTAGCACGTGACCAAGATCCGTCACCGAATTTGGTCTGCTGGTTGGATCATTAGTTTCCCCGGCCCGGGCTGGTTACTGACGGGAAGTGTGATTTACCCGATCTGTATGTGCATTTGCAGTATTTGCAGATTACCTCACTATTGATCACCTCAGCCTGAGAGTTGGGCTCAGGTGCTCTGAAGCCCTACAGATGTGCAGTCCTTCGTACTGAAGGCTGCCCTGAGGTTAACCAGCATCTGGAGCTAGAAGGAGCCATCAGCAGCAGCAGGAGGGAGAAGAGTAGTTTCCAGGCTGTGGTCAGTGCAGACCCCTAAAGGAGAAGGGTGTGTAGAATGTTACTGGAAAGATGAGGTAGCCTTTTTCTGCTGAGAAGTGGAAGGTGTTAGAAGCAGAAGAGGCACAGAGAATCTGATGATCAAAAGGCTAGCCTCATTCTTCTTGCAGCTCGCAGTCCCCCAGGTTCCAGAACCCTGCCTGCTCTGTAGCCCAGCCCCCTCCTCCCACTGGCATAGCCCAGCCCCTGGCATGTCCCTGTTGGAATCTGCAACCAGCACGAGATCTGTTTGGGGCAGCTTTCCCTCCTGAGTTGCAACACTCTTCAGATAAAGTTCTTGCTTCTTTCTTCTCTCTAGATATTTAAAGGCCTTCAGGGCTTGGGAGCCATTCCCAGGCCCTTAATTCTGTTATGAAAAGCTGCCAGAGAACCAGGGCCATGTGCTCCTTGCGGCAGCCCCTGGAAGTATCTGTGCTCTCTTTGATGGAGCCTGTGCTCAGTTCCCTGTTGTTGACCCTGATAGTGTTGGCATGGTTCTCTATATTCCGTGTGCTGCTCTAGTTTTTATTGTCCTCGTCACTGCCGTGTAGGAGGAAGCTGGTGGAAAGCTAGAGGTTTTTGCCCACTGTGTAAGGGGCAGGTGGGTCCCCAGGAAGGAATGGGAAATGTCTTGGGTTCCTGTCAGCCAAATGGGGGAACATCTACATCCCCATTCTAGGCAGCAGCAGAGGTGGTTACATTTTTGGAGGGGAGAGATTTGAACTCTTAGTTCCCCAGTTTAGTCTACCTTGTCCCATGCAACCACCCCACCTTTCTTCGGACCCTGATACCAGCTACTGAAATCAACAACCGTGTAGAATCCACTCATTAGCTGGATACTTCTAAAATGATCTGCAGGGAAATAGTTAAGTGCTGACATTTAGAGGTCGCATTTTTAGCATTATGCATGTATTTGCTTAATTTGCATTCGCAGTTAGCACATTCACATGGCCAACTGTGCTGTTACCACAATGACATGTGCAGTTAGGGTGCCGAGATTAGCTGGATGCCTGCACATTTGCAGTTCTGGACATCCAGTCCTGGGTTTCAGAGTTAACACCATTGAGGCGCATGGGACACTTTGTATCTCTGTGCTGTTGGGACTTATTTTTAAATACTTTAGGTGGTCTCCTTGGGAAATTGAGTTCAAATGACCATAATTAGCAAATAGTGTGTGCAGTTACCCAATGTGTGTCAAATAGCCACGGTCAGTGCACATGCACATAGGTGTGCAATGTTCATCTAATTTGTATGTGTGTCCATCTGTAGTCAGAGAGAAAGGATAGCCAAGTGGTTTGGGAGCTCTCTGGGACTCGGAAGACACCAGAAGATGCTCTATGTGACCTTGGGCAAGTCCCTTGGCCTCTTTGGACCTCTGTCCCCATCTGTGGAACTGGGAGAATAGCCTTGCCCTGCTGCTCAGGGGTATGTGAGGGTAAAGACATTAGATGTAGGGAGGCACCCAGATACTACAACAGTGGAGGCCAGATAAATACCTTAGAATTAGGCTTTTGCCATCCAGAAAGGCTGGAAATTCACTTTAATGGGAATGCTGCATGGCAGGGGTGGGAATTGAAAGAGACTGTTGCTGTGGTAGATGTGGATCCTGCGTGTGCTTAAGATCAGTTCGTTGCTGATGGCATTTGGAACAAGCCTGCACCTCTGAGGCCTTTCGTTGTTCTGAATCCTGGGTTCAGATCTGCCTTTGGTCAGGTGAAAATGAGATTGACATCACAAAGCCATGGTATCTGGCACAGGCTGTGTCTGCTTAGAAGTCTGATCAGGAGGGGTTCCGGCTGGAATAGCCTATGGGGCTGCAGGGCAGGACTGAGGAGCAGTGGTAGAGTGTGTGGGGAGCTCAGGTGGAACAGTGGGAGGGCTGTGGGTTGGTACTGAGGGGCACCTGCAGAGCTGTGTGTGGGGAGCATGTACAGTAGAGAAGGCAAAATGACACTGCACTAACTGGTCTGACTGGTTCTACACTTGTTGAGCGCCAGAATTGTTAACTG